ATATTTTATCTGGACTAATTTCTTGTGTTTATATTTTCAGGATGCATCACCCCGATGGTATGGTTGTGATTTTCAGAGATGAAGCGCAAAAGGCCCGATTTGCTACCTTATCTGCTAGACCTATGGTACCCACTAGGTACCCCGATCAGAGCTGCATGGAGGCACTAGGGATTGAGCCAAGTATTCGGTATCTATGCAACCAACTTAGCTGGGATTCTTATGCCGATGATGTCCACAAAACATACAGGAACCTTACTCTGGAGTTTCTCAGCTCTATGGACTATAATCCACGAGTAGGTGAAGGAGATGAGCGAGGACGCCTGAGTTTCAGATTGTTTGGCACCGAGTATACCCTGACCACCAAAGAATTTGGGGATTTGCTTGGTTTCCAAACTGGACCGACCGCTATAACTGAGTTCCCATTGAGTTGCTACATGGACAGAGACATTGACAAATTTTGGCAGGACATTACTGATAGAGCCAGTCTTGACCCCTCTACCCAGCTGTCCCGGAAGATCCATAACCCGGCCTTCCGATACTTCGAGATGATCCTATGCCACACCTTCTTTGGGAGGAGTTACTGTGACCACTTGGTCACCGCTGAGGAGATCCTTTTCTTATACTGTGCTAGTCAGTCCAGACCTATAGCTAGTGGAGGTTTTCTGATAGAGAGCCTCGAGCAGACTGCTCGATCCGCTGTAGGGCTCATTCATTCCGGAGGGAATGTGACACAGATAGCTTCTGCTTTGGGTTTAGACAGTATGATAGCACAGCTGACCCCATACTGTGGATATACTTTTCTAGATTTAGACTTTTGCATGGATCGTGGATTCATGAGGAGGGCCTCTTTTCACCCATATCGGTACAGATTGCTTATCAATGACCAGACAGTTTACACCTTCACCATACCAGACCCTCAGATGACTTGTGTTTCCAACTCTGCTAATTGGAACTATTCTGTAGAAGGTTGGGGTGAGATATCAGAGTACACTCCAGAATACACTCCTGCCTCCGAAGAGTACACTCCAGAATACACTCCTGCTTCTGAAGATCCCACTCAGGACTACACTCCTGCCTCCGAGGACTCCGCTCCAGATCACACATCCCGACCCGAGGTTACACATACTACTGTTCTTACTAATAACCTCAGCTTGCAGGAACCTGATATTCGCACTCTATTGACTGTTATGCGCACTGAGATAACCACTCTCCGCAATGAGGTGGCTGACCTTCATTTGCAGTTGGAAGTAAACGATGTTACCTCCGCTGGTGAGTTAGATGAATTAGCTCACGAGGTGGCAGAGATTCGACGCCAGCTGACCGAGCTGCGTGGCCCAGGCACTCCTGCAGAGCATCCTACCGGTTGGCAATAGATCTTTATTGTTCACAAGACATCTAGTTTCAGTATTATTAGTATTATGTTGATTTCCTTTTCAGACTCATTTTTATTTTTTGCATTATCTGTTTCCTGAGTTGTTAATATTTATTTTAATGACCCAATGTCCGTACCTATATCTATATATATATATATATATATATGCATATGTTTTATTTATTTACTAATGTTTTTGTTTTTCTAGGTCACCATAGTTTTAATATAAAAATAAAATAATTAAACATGTGTATATGTATTCACGTACATATATGCACATTTATAATAAAAATAGGTACACCTCCAGAAATTGAAGATAATGGCGAGGTAGAAAAAGCCCAATGGAAAGAAAGCCAGGCCAGCCCAACTGACCTGACCTTGACCGGCACCTTCAACCTCTAACCCACATGCAGGTACAGCTCCTAGCTTCCATGTCACTGAGGACATGTGGCGTGAGCATATGGCCCGAGAGGCCCAGAGGGACACCCTCCTTGCTACCTTGCAGCAACAGGCGACCGACAACATGGCCTTCATGCAAGCGTCCCAAGAACAAAATGCTAGCTCTCTGCGCACTATTATGGAAAGTCAGCTGGCTTTTCAGAGAGAACAGCACCTACACCAGACCACAAACGCTCGTCACTTCCAATTGATGGAGGCAACCCAAGGAACCCTCATTGGTCGGACCCAAGAGCTACAAGCGGCAAATGCCGCCTTGTCAGAGAGACTGGAGCAGCTTGTTTTGGACCGAGATAGCCGCCGTCGCAGCCGTAGCCGCCGTTCCGGTCGTACCAACCAGGATGGTGAAGGTCCTAGTGGCCCCCACTAGTGTTTTCAGGTACCTCCTCCTACCTTATTTTGGAACATTGAGGACAATGTCTGATTTAAGTGTGGGAGGAGCATTTATCGCTTTTATTTCCCATTTTTCGCTTTTATTTTCCGTTTTTCCTGCTTTTATTTACCTTCCGCATTTTTCCTTTTTTTTCGTAGTTAATAAAATGCATGTGATAGGCGAGTCTTTCTGCGTAGTGTACCCTTTCATTTCCCCCACCTTTTAGCCTTACAAAATTTTTATTTTTCAAAGATTTATGGTTGTTTTTTAAGGATTTGGGCTATGAGACAGGTCCTAGATAGGGTCTGTTTCTCGGACACTCACTTTTTGAAAAAGTCGTTATCATTTTTACACCATAAGCCTTTTTGAATATTTAGATTAGATCCTTTCTCCCCAATATGCTATGATTTTGAATAAAGCTGTACAAATAGGTCTTCAAGTAGTTTATCTTAGCAGTCAGCTCCGGCCTAAGCATGCTCTAAGTGTGGGATCGATGAATATAAGTGGATGATCTCTATTTTTGCCTTAAAAGTTACAAAATAAAGTATGAATACGACTACGAGTTGGGTAATCCTCACGAAGATTACTTAACTCAAGAAAGTTGTAAACACTAACAAAAACAAAGAAAAAATATATAAGGCATATCTGTTGTAGTTGGTTCAGATGTATCTGGTGCTGAACTTGGTAGGGCGGACTACGGTCCGATCCCCCGCAACTGCAAATGGGTAAAATAAAAAGGGATTAAACCAACTCTTGTACCAGAATCCCATCACTTGAGATCAGAGTCACTAACCGGTCACTACACCATGAGTATGTACGGATAACGGGCTTAATGTGATTGCGCCTGAATGAAAAAGGACCTCGTACAAAAAGAAGTCTTAGCATAGTAAGGATATTTGGATCAATCTGTATACTTATGAGGTTTATGTCCGCATTTCTGCGAGTAGTGTAATTAAGATACCCTTGATTCAGATAGTTAGTGCCTGACAACACACCCTTACTCGGACTTAGAAGCCCTCTTTGCCCAAAACCTGTATACACCATAAATTTTCTTTTATCTACTTTTAAGAGTCGTTGCTTGAGGACAAGCAAAGGTCTAAGCGTGGGAGGATTTGATCGCACTAAATCGCACTATGTTTCTGACTCAAATATCACATGTTTTTCTTAGTTTTTATTGTCATTTTCTCGTATTATGTTCCTTTTTCCTTTGTTTTCAGGATCCTTGTCATTTCAGAGCCTTCTGTGAAGAAACGAGCCAAAACGCCAAGAAATTAGGGTTTTTCAAGATATTTTGCACTTATGGCGTTCAGCACCGCGCTGGCTACAGGAAACGCGATGACGTGGCCCACTTTCACCCAGAGATCAACTGCCACGTTCCCATGATGTGGCGGTTCCAGGCGCCGCGCCCGCGGCCACCCTCACCGCGCCCGCGGCCTTCACAAAATGGTTCCCGCTCAAAGGAAGTTAAGGGGCATACTGGTCCTTACGCACTTCAAAGTTCCTCTATAAATAGCTTTCGATTCTCATTCTTTATTTTCATCCAAGCTTAGTACAATCTTAAGCCATATACTATCAGTTTCTGTAAAGTAATAATCTCTTCACATCGGGGAGTTATTGCGGTGTAGATTGAGTTGTAATCGAGTCTTGGAGCACTTTGGTTGAAGTTCATCATACCGGCCTTACTTTTCCGTAGATTTGTATCAGATTCAAGTCTCCGACCGGAGCAAGGTTCTAATTTATTGCATTTCTTTATTTAATTGCTCTTATCATAGTCTACACGTTTTATAGACTTTAAATGCTCTTACCATAGTCTACACGTTTTATAGACTTTAAATGCTCTTATCATAGTCTACACGTTTTATAGACTTTAAATGCTCTTACCATAGTCTACACGTTTTATAGACTTTAAATGCTCTTACCATAGTCTACACGTTTTATAGACTTTAAATGCTCTTACCATAGTCTACACGTTTTATAGACTTTAAATGCTCTTACCATAGTCTACACGTTTTATAGACTTTAAATGCTCTTACCATAGTCTACACGTTTTATAGACTCGCACTTATTATGTCTGGCTAAACTATAAAGGTTAGGATGTAATGATTGTCATCGTGGTTGTGTTCCAATTATCATGCTAGTGAAAATACTCTGGGGATGTTTTGCTTCTAACTTAAGTCGATTGTGTTTAAATGTTTAATTGGGTAAGATCGAAAGCCGTCCAAACTGATGATACGACTTGATTATTATTTAACCAAACAAAAAGAGCGACAGCCGTTGATTGGTTAAATAGGAATCATTGACCCTTTTTAGAAAACGATTTTGAAACTATTTTCGGACGCGTTTGTAGGTTTAAAATCTGACTCTTGGCCAAAAGCCAAAAGTCTCTTTAAGTTAATCTTTCCGAGTAAGATCACTTTTCTATTAAGTCAAAACTATCAATTTCTTAAAAATAGGTTTACCTCTTTAACGCGGAAGGCACCCTTTATATGTGACAATAAAGGAATTTAATTTAAAGAGTAAACTCGGTTCTTAGTAGTCAAAAGCTACAAGTTCCCGTTAAACTGATTCTTTGCTATCAATAGAAAATACTGCCCCATAAGTAGGTTCATCTACGCATGACCGGACCAATATCTGATTACATGATTTACATTCCAACCTGTCTTTTAAACTGTTATTTCCCTCGCATATTTACTTTGTGCACTGCACTCACATCAATATCCTTATTCGCCTTAGATAAGCACCTTAGCAATAGAGTTGATAGATTGACAATTGGTCTCTGTGGTTCGATAATCTTATATATTACTTCGATAGGCTGTACACTTGCAGTACTACATTTAGGCTATACGTTACAGATAATACAGCCCCCATCAAATATTCGTAATGTCCATACCTCGTCCTAAAAGTAGTTTTCTGAACATCTTCTTCTTTCACCCTTATTTGATGGTAACCCGATCTCAAATCAATCTTGCTAAACATGCGAGCGCCAACCAATCGGTCCATCAAATCATCAATCCTACGAAGTGGATACTTATTCTTGATAGTCACTTTATTCAACTGATGATAATCAATACAAAGTCTCATGCTACCGTCTTTCTTCTTCACCAATAACACATGAGCTCCCCACGGCGACACACTAGGTCTAACAAAATTCTTCTCGAGCAAATCTTCTAATTGACTCTTCAATTCTGCTAACTCAGATGCGAACATCCTGTATGGTGCCATAGAGATAGGACTGGTACCATGGACAAGATCCATAGAAAATTCAACTTCTCTTTCTGGAGGTGCACTAGGAATCTCATCAGAGAATACTTCGAGAAAATTGCACACCACCGGAAAGTTTGCTATCACAGCTTGACTCTCCATGGAAAGAGTCGCCATCAACAAGAAAACCAATGCCTCATCCTTCATGAACTCATTCAACTGCTTCATCGACACCAACATAGATTGTTCTTCTTCTACTAAGGAAGAAAACCTCACAGTGTTGTCATAGCAATTGATATGGACGTAATTAGCTTTTAACCAATCCATACCTAAAACCACGTCCAACCCGACAAGCGGTAAACAAACAAGATCCACCACAAAGTCTCTATCGAAGATTGATAAGGGCAACTTGCACACACAAAAGAAGTAGTAATCGTTCCCTTAACCGGAACTTCTACCACCATATCTCTATCTAGAGACGACAAAGTGAGACCCAATCTCTTTACATAATCAACAACAATAAAATAGTGAGTAGAACCAGTATCAATAATAGTAATAAGAGGAAAGCTATTAATGAAACTAGTACCTCGAACAAGACCATCCTCGTTTACCGTCGGAGCACCCGACAAAGCAAACACCTTTCCTGCTCCTTGAGTCCTCTTAGGCTTCTTACATTGAGCACTAATGTGACCTCCCTGCCACAATTAAAACAGACCACATCCTTATGTCTACAATCGCGAGTCATACGGCTAACTTCTCCACATCGGAAACATCTCATCTCATTCTCCTTAGCTCTAACATCGCTTCGACAAACATTACTTTTGTAGCCAGGTTTCCCACACTTGTAACAAACAATACTAGCAGGAGCATCTCCCCCACTAGTTCTTCGCCCTTGAAACGCTTTTTGTTTCCCTTTACTAGCTGGAGTATCATACGATTTTCCACGGCTTTACTGAACTTTGTTTCTCTTATCAGACATAATCTTATAATGAGCATTACTGTCCTCCTCAATGATTCACAACTATCAATCAAATCCGAAAAGACACGGATTTTCTGATAACCAATAACTTTCTTAATCTCAGGACGCAAACCATTTTCAAACTTGATGCATTTAGAGTACTCGCCATCCGACCCATCATAATGCGGATAGAACTTGGCCAACATAATGATCCTTGCAGCATAATCAGTGATAGACATGCTTCCTTGCTTTAATTCAAGGAACTCTATCTCCTTCTTTCCCCGAACATCTTCCGGGTAATACTTTCTCATGAATTCCCTTCGGAAAACTTCCTATGTCACTTCCTCACCAGCAACCTCAAGCCTCTGACGGGTTTCAACCCACCAGTCATCCGCTTCAGCACTTAGTTTATGAGTACCATAACGGATCCTTTGCACAGGAATGCAATCCATCACACGGAAGATTCTTTCAATCTCCTTCAGCCACGCCAAAGCACCTTCGGGATCATACTTTCCTTGGAAAGTAGGAGGATTCTCTCTTTGGAAAGTTGCCAAACTACGAGACCCAGCATTCTCGTCAGCATTCGGCGGGTTTTGGAAATCCTGAGCCATTGTCTGCATAGCAGCAGCAAGAGTCACATCATTCCTACTAGTGTTCCTTCCAGCCATAACAACTTCTGCTCAAAACAAAACAAGGATTAGAATCAACAAATAAGAATACTTGATTGATAGACGACAACAAACTCAACAACTTGGCCGGACAGACCGACCTGCTCTGATACCACTAATGTAACACCCCAATTCTACCCCTCGTGATTAATAATAAAATCAGAGTTTCAAAATTTCATCCAAACATAAATTTAGGTATCACATATTCGTGTTTTTCATCACTTTGCATTATAATGTACATCACAAAATCAAAAGTCAGATATACTGATTCATAACATAAATCATCATATAAACATATGACTAATCACAACACAGCGGATGTGTTCACAAAATGTACGTATCATCATGTTATCATCAATACATAAGGTCATAAGATAGTATACATAAACTATCTTATCAAAATAATAACGTCGCTCAACTCCCGAGTGTTACTACTATCAGAGCAGAGCGACTTAAAATAAAGAGACTCGAGCTAATCCTCATCATCCTCGCGGATCACCTGCACGTTACCAATATAAAGGCAACGACGAAACAAGTAAAGGGTGAGATACTCCAAAACATATAATTAAAGGCATGATAAAATATATAAATAGGTTTGGAATCATAAATGATATAGGTTAATAAAAATATGTCAACAAATATCAAATCTCACATACTTTAAAATCATCATTTAGTGTATAAGATCAACACTTTAATATCATCACATAATCACCATAATCATGTCAAAACAAGACATAAACTTCATCGCCATAAACTCATATCGTCGCTTTACCGTCATGTTATATTCATCGCTTACTCATCAGGAAATTATCACATCATATTCACTTTATGTTCAACACAAAAATCATCACAAAACAAAGTATCATATATCATCGCAATTCATCATAAGCCATGAAATAAAACTCAACGCCCAAAGACTCAAAAATAAACATAATCGACTCCATGAGACACGACTATGTTATGCATGTGGTACCCGTCGTTTTGTCCATAATTAGGGACATTCAGCATAAAAGCCCATCGTCACTTTGGCATAAAGCCCTCGTCGCTTGGCATAAAAGTCATCGTCGTCAATGCAATGTATGTGACTCGACAACACGACATCACAAACACGGCACAATAAAACATCATCACCGCACATCAAAATTGGTATAAAACTCACGTCGCCATATTTATTCATATCAAGATAAACATATCATCGCATCACATATCATCAAGTATTCATTATAAATAAACTGTCGCAAACATCATATTTAATCACACCACATCATTATCAAATAATTCACTAAATTTCAAACACGGAAAAATAGTCAAACATCAATAATCGTCGCGAAAGTCATTCATAATAATCGGCATCAATCATAATCATTAACGTCGCAATCGGATTGTCCATACGCGACTTAAACCGACTAAAACGCAACTCGTTCCAAATTAACCGTAAATTGGCCTATTTCATGTCGTTTCATAAAAACTCAAAATCTCGAAAAATTAACCTCGCCACGACGTTCTACACGTCGAAATTAGCTAGCACGTTAATTTTCGTTCAATTCGGAGCAACTAGCTTCGTCGCCGAAATTGTCGAAATCGGGAAATCGGACATAATCGGGTTCTAAATTAAATCGGCTAACTTATGACATATTTGTATTTAATTAATATAAATATTTAATATATTAAATTAAGAAAAGAAAAACAAAACATAAATTAATTAATTTCTAAACTTAATCTCAATTTTGCATACCGCTACTTTACTTAGTTTTACAAACTTAACTTAATTTATATACTATTAGTTTAGTTACGATATATTGTTATACTGCATAATTTTGTTTGTTCTAAACTATACTGCTAATTTTTTTGTTTTTCTTAATTCAAGTAATATATGCTAGTTTAGTTCTAACTTCATTTCCATGAATATACTGCAAGTCTTAGTTTCTAAACGTAATTTAAATAATTATAATGCAAGTTTTTTTTTTGTTTTCTAAGCTTCATATAATCAATATACTGCTATTTCTTTTTTGTTTAAAAATTAAATTATATTGCTATTTCTTTTAGTTTATAAACTAAACTATACTGCTATTTTTTTTAGTTTATAAATTAAACTTAATTAATATAATTTAATTTTTCTAATTTAATTTCTATTAACATAACAATAATCTCACAACACTAACACCTAAATTAACTCTTCTAATTTATCTCAACAAATCTTAAGAACTCTAACATCAATTTTATCCCAGATCAAAATATACCAAATCAAACTCTAATTATAAACATTGAAAAATCAAACCTCTTACCTTAGATACTTGAAATGATTCTTGATGATTTCAATCAACCTAAAACTCAAGCTTTGTTCTTGCTCCTCTTCTTGTTCTACTTCTCCAAGACTCTCTTAAGCTCTCTATGTCTCTAAGTGTGTTTTTGTGTTATGACATAAAACAAGGAGTGTTTGGTTGGTTCTAGCAGCAAGACACAAGTAAATACCCAAAAAACCCTTCTTGATATATCACCATTAATTAACACTAAATAATATCAAATAATATTATTAACCCAAATAATTAAAATAACTCCAAATAATTAAATATTGGTCCGAATAATATTTTACCGAACCGAACGAAATAAAAACCGGACCGAACAAAATAATTACTGGTCGCTCAAAATAAATACCGGACCGAAAAAAATAATTACCGATCCCTCAAAACAAATACTGGACCGAATAAAATTATTACCGGTCCCTCAAAATAAATACCGGACCGAATAAAATAATTATCAGTCCTTCAAAATAAATACCGGGCCGAATAAAATAATTATCGATCTCTCAAAATAAATATCAGACCAAATAAAATAATTACCAATCTGAATAAAACGTCGCCGAATATATTAACAGATATAACTGTTAATTTAAATATTTTCGTCGCAAAAATAAACGTCAAACGGTAATTCGAAAATATTAATATATAATATTAAATAAAACAGGGCGTTCCACTCTGCGTACCTCCGATCTGTGGCCAACAACGCTATTCCTCTCTGTCACGATTTCTCTTACCGCACGCCTCCCAAAATCTTAACCGACCGTGATTCTGCATAGCAAGCAATACCGGCAGTTGCTTCCCCGTCGGATTCATTATCTTCATTGAAAGATCCATTTTTTTGGTCGACTGATTTTGTGCATTTGTTTTTTTTTCTTTTTTTTTTGAATGTATAGGTTAGGGAGGGGCTAAGCAGCTTAGTGTGCAGTAAAGAAGAAAATAACAAAAGAGAAGAAAATGAGAGTATTGCAAGAGAGGACAAGAGGTTACGGTGGAGGAAAGGAAAAAGAGATAGGTAATCTCAGTCTTCATCATTCTTGTTATGTATTTGTTTCTTTACTCTTTTAATTTTGCAAATAAATATTGCCACGTGTCAGCGTATGAGTGGAGGGAGGAATATGTGGGAGAATTCAACTCCCTTATCTCTTTTAAATCGGCGCCACTTACAGTCCATGTGAGTTTTTTGTCTTCTTCTTTTTAATATAATTCTCTTGTTATAAAAAGTAGGTTTTAATGATTTGGGGTTTGGGCCTAACGTTTCACTATTTTTTTTTCCTAATCCAACATTCTTTTATTTATGCACCCTTCCTTTTAATGTTAATTTAATTATTTCTTTTTTAATTTAGTTGACTTAATTTATCTAATTTGTTAATATAGTTTTTATTGTGTAGAATACAATAATAATAGTAATAATTTCCTTGCATTAATTCGAGCCTCTTTCATAAACTGAATTGATTAATATTTACAAAAAAAATCAAAACGCACGCAATTCATTAAATATGCCACCCGCGCGTATCACATTGCCACGTGGTGAGGAAGACTATATCAGACTTCCTCCGCATCCTTCATAACGAGCAGCACGAAGTCAATATCTGACCGTGTGGTGAGGAGACTATATCAGACTCCCCGCCTCACGTCTTAATCAAACCAAATACCAAAACAGTTAACCAATTACAAACTATCTTTTTTCTACTAACATAATCAAAACTCAAGATTACTTTCAAAAAAGGATTAAGGAGAATTATTTCAAATTAACTGCGAACCACGTCTACAATCACTCAATTCACAACCCAGACAAAGTTCAAAGATTAATTCGAAAGCGATTCTGCGTAATCTATAAAAAACACCAACCAAACTACGAACTACGAATTGGGACTCTGATTCCTGATAAGAGGATACGTAGGCACGTGATATAAAATCGTGGCGAGTCTTCCTAATTAAAATTTAAAACACTGTTTACCCCAAACCTAAACCTAGGGCTAATATCCTTGTGAACAAGGTGGATGAAAGGTGCCTAATACCTTCCTTTCGTCTAATAAGAGTCTGAAACCTAGAATCTCTATTTGCGAATTAGGGTTTTCTGTTAGATTCCTTTCCCTAGGATAAAAACTAATAGTGGCGACTCTGATTTAAAATCCAGTTGCTATAGCTGGCGACTCTCCTTAACCCTAGGTTTAGGTATTTTTGGGGTTTCTTATTTTTATTTGTTTTATTTATTTATTTGCATTAATTCTATTTATTGCGTTATTTATTATCAATTTTTCTTATGATCGTATATACTATGTGGCAGGTTTTATTTCAAAAAAAATATTCTCAAATAACCTTAGCAAGAAGTTTCGTCTATTAGCTTAGGGGGTATATCATCCCTACGAGTTTATGTGACGACTTCGCCTAGAGTCGGTGAACTTCCGAAAAAAGGAATACTTATCGAGAGATATTCTCTTTACGAGTAGGACTTTGGAAGGTCACCCATGACTCTTTGTAACGACCTTAACCCAAAATCTCATGACGAGACCTTTCACGACTTTGAGACGGACGTCTCGGTCTGTAAAGAGGCTCCACCTAAGAGAGACCCTTGCGCTTTTTCCCTATGGTGTTATTCATGATGCCCTTAAGGAAGCCACCTTTTGGGAGGATAGATAAATTGTATGCCAAGACCAAGGAACCTACCTTATAAGGGTACTTATAAAAAAAAACCTGTCACTGAACCATACATCCCTACCTTATAGGGGTATTTATTACAAAAATACTGTCACTCGACCCTACACCTATGCATTCATACATTTCATGTATTCTCATGCATTTCATATATTCGTCACCCCACATTTATCTCATTCACAGGGGGTATAAAAGATAAAAATAAAATCAAGATCCCGGTGACTGTCTTTGAAAATGGGTACCGAAGGAAACAACTTACTCGCGTCAACACGCCAAACATGCCTGAAATCAAGGCCACAAAAGAGAAGTAACATGCAAGAGAATTTCTCAAATTTTGTCCAGCAATAGTGGATGGTTTCAAAAGAAGATATTTGCAGGCGCGCCTAGAAGACTATTTCCTTGTTGCCTGATTTCATGCAAATAAAGTTTTGGCTAAAGATGGTAATATTTTTCAATATCTAAATTACGTTACCCTCAATAAAGGAATTTTGTTTCCACACACCATTTACGTATATATTTTTAAAGATAGTCGCCAAGTAAAATAATAAAGGACAAGCATATACCCAAAGGAATAAGACATTCACATTCATTCGCACTCCTGCATTCACGAACACCTGCATGTCATGTCAAAACTCGTTTTTTGAAAACATATCTCCAGTTGAATCATTGGTAGAAGAAGATCGCCACCTCCTTGGCCTCCATATCAAACAAGGGATTATCAACAAAAAGAAATGGAGAAAATCGAGGAAACTCAGGCTGTGTTCAAAGAAAATCTCGACCAAGTAAAGGGCGACGTAAGTTCAATGTAAGGAGATTTGAGGCAAGTTCTTCTGGATTTGAAGAACCTTATTGACAGGCAAGACCAGATCCCCAGGGCAGCTTTCGAAGGAGTAGCCCATACTATTGGTGCATCAAGCGGTCACCAACTAAGAAAAGAGTCAGAGGCAGGACTCTGGAAGTCCGTCATGGCCCAACAAAAAGCTAAAGCTGAAGGGTTTGTCCCCACCGCCGCTGAAAGCAGGGGAATCTCATACCCTACAGGTTCCAACCAATAATGCGGACTCCCGCTAAGACACAATGAAGCTTTCGAAAGAGCTCTATAAAGGCTAGGGGACCAGGGGATAGTTCAGTTCGAACAATACCCTGAAGAAAAATATAAAGCTACTCTGAAGGGCGAAGCACATTTTCCTCTAATCCATGAGACCTTTGTCAACAACGGAGTAGTGCATGGCGGACATACGGCGAAGATATCCAATAAGGCCAACATCAAAGGGGCAATCGAAGTCATCCAAGACTGCGCCCAAAGAAAACATTAAAAGATGGACGACCATGGAGATTCCTGAGATCTTTTTCTTTCCTAATTAATTTTTCTTGTTTTCGAAAGAACCTATGTCAAGCCCGAGACATAGGGGTTGCTTGTAAGGTTTTCCCCATTTTGTTTCAGACAATATTTACGATTAATGAAAGTTATATTTTGTTTTCAATCAAGATCCCTGTCTTTCTTTTGCATTCATGTCTTAATTTTAAAATGGAAATACTTTCTCTGCATATGCATTTTCAAATATTCAAATACTAAAGCTGCACCAAAACATGGTAAAGGTGCAAATTCATGCCCAAAACCACCGATAATGCTATTGCTGTGATCTGATGTAATTTTGATGCTCCTATCAACCAAGCTAAAGAGGAAGATGATAAAGATCTTGAACTCTCTGAGAAAATGGCGAGGGAAAAGCTAACAATACACAACCATGTCAAGAGGCTATTAAGACCATTAATCTAAGCATAGGGGAAGACCCAGAAGAAACTGAGCTAAGGGGCAATGTTAAGAGCGAAGCCATAAAGAAGCTGATCGAGTTACTGCACATATATATGGAAACAGGTCTGAAATTCTGGCTGCAGATACTCAATGTCACGTTCAATGTTATGACACCGTATCTGACTTACTATATGACAGTAAATACAAAAGCAATAAAGAACACAGTCAATTGTTTACCCAGTTCAGTGTGCAACAACACCTACTCTGGGGGCTACCAAGCCAGGGAGGAAATCCACTATAAGAGATTTTAATTCAGGAATAAACCAACCAGTTTATCTCCTTCACTTAAGACCTACCCAATGCTATTCCAATCTAAGTACAACTTAAACCTGAGTTCCTACTCACTCCCCCTCAATCATAGCAGTGATACATAAACCAATTTGACTTAAGAATTGATGAAGACACTCTTCAAAGACAAACACTTGATTAAGCTTCACAACTTTTTAATCAAGCAACACAATCACTCTTGCTTCACAGCTTTGAGTGATGTACACAACTAACTTGACTCTGCTTCACAGCTTTAGTCAAGGAACATTCAAGCACTCTTGCTTCAAAGCTTAGAGTGCTACACAACCCTTACAATTTGAAACCTATTCCAAGGCACTTATCACAATGATAATTGCCTGGAGTACAATAAACAAATCTATACAGATTACAAATGATCTTCTAATCAAAATAAAAGCCATCCGTGAAAAACAGCAGCTCTGTTGAATATATAGCAGCTGCAACTTCAGTTAGGGTTTCCAAAAACCTAGGGTTAATTCCGTTTTAACCTAAAGATCAGGTCACAGGACTTTATTAACCAGGTTAGGGTTGAGCTAGGTTACCCCTCAGAAAACGCAGGATTCTGTTCAGAAAGGACTGAGTTATTTCCTGAAAAAACTCAGACTTATCCAATCCTGCAATCCTGTTAGTTCAGAACAGGATGTCATAACATCTGTTATGACATCTGAGAAAACCTGTCTACTGATTTAGCAAAATGTGATCATTTTGCAAAAATGCTCAGATACACACTTATAAACATCAGTATTTGAATTACAATATTTTTCTGCAAAGGTACCTAATGAGTTAGTACAAACTGAACTAGAATGTTATGACATCAGTCATGACATTCACACATACACTTGGGTTTTACCAAAAATGCAAGCCAATACCTAAACACCTACAAACTCCCCCTTTGGCAGATTTTTGGCTAAAGACCCTAAACAATCAGAGATAGATAGCAGCAGAAATAAGTGACAGCAGAAAAATAGAATGTCAAGTACTAATTAAGTAAGTACCAAAA